CACGGGCTTAAACGACGAGCAAACACTCAAACGTATAGTCAAGCATTGGTTTGTTCGACAAAATTAATAGTGTGCTGTATTAATTTGGAAGAAGCGTTGAGCCTTGGGAGATAGACGTCCATTTTTAATTCATTATTTTGATTAATTATTTAATGTGATAAACTCTTTTGCCAGTTTTTAAAATATTAAAAATGTGGTAAAAGTTAAATTTTTGATCAATTAATGGAATTGTGGATGGAAACTGTCAAGAATGACTTCACCTACAGCGTTTGAAAATGTTAGTGGCGACGATTGTAACAAATCAAATGTTTAAAAAAAGCCTACTAGTATTTCAAAGGTTTGAGATTTTTGCCGCAATTATTCCTATAATAATCATGTAATAATTTATCCAACACATTTGACCCAACTAACTAAATTAGCTAACAACTAGTTCATGAATCACCTTATTTTAAATTTTATAAATAAAATAATCGCAAACAACAACTCACGTCCCTAAATAATGCTCATGATGTGAGTTTCAATTTTCAGTTTTTTGTCAATAATTATCACGATACAGTAATAACTGATAGCAAACATAGTACATTGGACCCAACTAACAACGTAGTTCGTGAATCTATGGTGTATCCTCCTTGTACCTGACATCCGTCAATGGCTTAAATTTTAAATAATGCTATCTACCATTATCTTGATGGCTTCATTTTATAGGTTCAATTAATTAAGAAACGTAACTTTGTATTTAAATTAATTTATCGACCACATCAATTAAATAAATTATGTGATTTTACATTTAAGTTTAAGCCCATGTTTATCTTTGATTCTTTCAATTTTTTTAAATACTTATTTTCAATCATACATTTACGCAATAAAATATTTTATACGTAAATTCAAAAATAAACCCTACTTTTTAATCATATACTTTTCAAAAAACAATTATTTTCCTAAAAAAAATTGGCCACAAAGCACCCGTTTGGTACACATTTTGAAAGTAAGAATGCAGTTTTAGTGTTGATGTGATGGAGAATATGTGGTTGAAAAAGAAGGAAAAGTTATTGATGTGATAAAAAAATATTATTTTATTGAAAAATGCGTGATTGAAAATGAGCAGGAGAATGAAAATGTAAAAAAATAACGTGGACGAGACAGGGCGAAAACCGGGCAATCTTACCTGTAATTACCACTTAGCATCACTCCTTGACTTTCACTGCGGAGTCTGATTTTCTTGGAAACTATAAATGTGAAACCTAGAGGCTGATGCGCAACTCGTAATTTCACTAAATCCCAAGCCCCATTTTGGAGGGCTTCAGATGTAACTTCCCTATTTTGGAGGTAATGCCCCCCTTTCCATGTAATTTCAAAAATGCGTCACGAGCTGTGCAGGGATCAGGAATGACAATTTTCTTGTTTGATCTGTGCCAAAGTCGTTTTCGATGACTTAAAATAAAAATATCTTGACAGCAAAGACTTTTCTTTGGAATAACATGGATAGAAAATAATATTCATTGAATTTTCATCAGCATGTGTGTTTTTCAGCTAAGAATTTCATTTACTATTTTAATAACTTGATATTTTCTTTTGTCATAGTGCAATTATCTTTATAAGCCCTAAATACTTGCACCGAAGCTTGTTTGTAATATAATTTCTTTTCTTATTGTTTGATCCTGAAGCACTTCCAATGGGTTCAAAAGCAGTTGAAGATTTAATAGAGGCTTCATCAGGTGCCCATTTTTCTGGATTTCACTTAGATAATGGAGAGCCAGGTATTTCACAAGTGGAGCAAACAAATACCTCTACCACTGAAAATATCAAGCAACCTTTCGTGATTGGTATGTGCTAGAACTATCATAATAAGAGTCCTATTTTCTTGTTAACAATGCTGAAACTGCGTCATATGATGCTGCAGCATGTTAGTAATTACAACCAAACCAATCATAATATCCTGTTTACCAACACCTGTTCTCTGAACTCCGAACTTCTCTTTGGGAATATTATAATAAATCTGGGTTATCTTGATAGTGTTGAAATATCTTTATTTATGTGAATTTCGGATATATAATCTTTATTTCATAACGTAATAAGTTATTTGTGCTTTTGGTCATTTCCTCTGCTATTATCGGAAAAATATCATGTACATATTTTCCTTCTTAAAAATTTAAGTTTCATGTTCTTGACCTCATCTGTTTTTAATTTCGCAGGAGTTGCTGGAGGTGCAGCTTCTGGGAAGACTACAGTTTGTGATATGATTATTGAGCAGCTACGCGATCAGCGTGTTGTACTTGTTAACCAGGTATGGTCTTTACAACAAGAAGCTAAACCTTTTGGACAATACAATTGGTGTCAGCTACATGAATATTATTTTACCACTTTTCTATTAAAAACTTAAGTGAAATCTAGTTTTGGTCTATCTCTTCCTCTTCCACTCCATCTTGATTGTATAGCTATTATGAAAGAGAGCTTCTTTAGGTTTACATACAAAATGGCCTATCTATCTAAGCAGTCATTCTCTTAATGGGTCCTTGGTGCCACCACCACTTGTTGATGTATATACATTTTTTATTTTATCCCTTCTATTGTGACTATTCATCCATCTTAACCTCCTTATTTCCACTACCTTCCCTTGTGAACATTTTGTCATTCAATAATCCAATACTAGTTATTTAAAGAACAATTGATTAATGGCTATTTTGTAAAACTTTATAGTTGTTTTATCTCTCCAGCTAATATACTTCCCATGTTAATATTTTTGGCAGGATTCTTTTTATCACAATTTGAACCCAGATGAACTTAAAAGAGTTCATGAATACAACTTTGATCATCCTGGTGGGTTCGGTGTTAGATTTTCTAACTTGTATATGCTACCTTTTTAGTCCGAATTCTTTACGTCCATGAATAGGTTCCCATTTTCTTTTGAAAGTCTTGAACCATATACCATTGTCATTGGATCCTGATTATATTGTTTTAGAGAAGTCTGCATTTGACCCTTCATTTCCAGCTCTTATACTATTGTGTGGAAGTTCTTTTCTCCTTCACTTTGCTACTTATTGCACGTTTACTGAGCAGTGATAGCTATGATGCTGATCCAGCAAAATTAAAAAGATGTTGTTCTGCTGCAGCTCTGTCTTGAATGTTCCTTTTGGTGATAAGGTTTATAGCTCTTAGACAGCATGATATTGTGCAATTATTATAAAGGCTTTGATCCCGTTGAAGAGAAAGGGAAAGGAAAAAACTACTGAAAAGGCACATTAATATAATAATAGACTACAAAATAATGTCTATTTGAAAATTTCTTATTTTCTTTTAGGTGGTAATGTCGCTCCATATTAGACTTATCATCTTCGATTTCACAGTTGCATGTTTCATCATTTTGCATCATTTTTTTGTTGTTGTCCTTTTTCAAGTGCAGATGCATTTGACACTGAGCAATTATTACATATTATGGAACAACTGAAGCATTTCCAAGCTGTAGATATTCCAAAGTATGACCTTAAGAGTTATAAAAGTGACGTCTTCCCTGCTCGAAGGGTAATTTCCTTTGTTTTCTTTTCTGTTATTGAAAATGACACCCCATGTTACACTAAGCACAATACTGTATAAAAAAATGCCTGTGGTTGCCAAAGGGAGTTGTTTGAGTAAGTAATCATAATATGCCAAGAAAATCAGAAATTATCGTTAGGCACTTGCCTTTCTTGGTGCTCTATCTCTGATTTGCTAATTTCAATTTCCTTGGATTGTTGATATAATTATTATGCTATCCAGGATTCAATATTATAAGCTTTATAGGAACATAAAATGTCATTAAATGAAAATTCAGATATACATTGCTACTTAAGAAAAATATCAATATTATTAAGGAGGGTTTTCTAGGTTCAACCTTTGCCCAACTCGATTTTGGCTTGGAAGATGGATGCACACAGATATACAAACCATTCACGAGTAACTTTAAATAGTTGTCTTCACTATGAACAGAACTGATCTCCTGCTCATAGTTGCCACATGACCCCGGTTGGCAACGTATTTCCTGCCCACATCGCCAGGAGATCAGTTCTGTCACTATGAATTGTAATATTAGCAAAAAAATTACAAATGATAAATAGCCGGATTATGCTTTCCCTTTTCTTTTCTCATTTTTGATTATTTGATTTGCATCAATATACCCACTTGTTGGTGTTACATCTGGCAGGTAAATCCCTCTGATGTTATTATTTTGGAAGGTATACTGGTTTTTCATGATCCTCGTGTTCGAGATTTGATGAATATGANAAATGAATTTTAGAAAATGGGGGTCAAACAAGAGCTTTATATTTTTATCCAAAATGACTTTTTTTTCTTTTACTTGTGCATGCAACAATGCTAATATAAGAAACTTTTAATATAGTGGTCTTGCCAACTTTCAATATATATTTAAATTTGTGATATTCATCGCTCATCATGTCTTTGTATGTGTACTTACATACGTATATACACCCGTATGTATTTGTGTATTTTTATTTTCTTTGTGAAGGCAAAAATTCTTTTAAGAATAATAGCCCAAAGGAACATGCTTTAAACCTGGACATTGACCATATACAGGAAGATATAAGCCAAAACGTGCTGGAAAACCTAGAAACAGGCCATATAAAAGAAAAGATGATTTGAGCCAAATCCTCAACAAAATCTGCCTGGGATCAGGCTGCAATGAATAGCTCAAAATTGATATTTCTTGCTATTTGCTACTCTACCTCAGATTGGAACCGTGTTGGTTAATTTATTATTTTTTTCTTAGTGATGGATGGACCTAACAATAAATGTGGGGCTTCTCTAATTTGTACATTTTCTCCTTTTATTCTCATTCCTGTTGTTTTTGTCATGAACTTTGTACTTGTTTTATATTCTTGTGATGTTCATGATATGAATTTTCTGTGCAGATGCTGATGTACGCCTGGCAAGGAGAATAAGGCGTGACACAGTCGAAAAAGGTAGAGATATTGGTACGGTACTTGATCAGGTATAAAATATTCAGCACATATTTCATTATTTTGTATTGAAAATATACATTGCACATGGCTAATTTTTGATAAACTCTCACCTTTGTAATTAATTACATGTAAAATATCTTGCTCCATGTTGTAAGAAAAGTGAAATAAACAAGGACTATTATTGACCAAAGCACATATTTCAATCACAACACATAAAAACAGAGAGAAAGAACTTTGAAGAGGACCAATTAGATTATCACAACATAAACTAATTTTCCAGAAATCCTAATGAATTACATTTTAAGAAAACCAGACTTCCATCATTACAAGTTTCATTTATGTGCATGTTGTTGATCTTCACTTTGTTTATTCAGTGATAAATTTGTTACATGATGCTTTTTTAGCCTGTGACTACATATTTCTACAATCCTTGGGTCATTAGCTTTTACTTTAAGCATGGAATTAGTTATTTCGGGGAAACTTTTTTTTTTTCTGGATGTATATGCATGTCTTCCCTGATAGTTGTGACCATCTTACCTGGTCTTCTTATCTAAGATGAGTTGTGATATTTTGTAAGATAACGACGAAAAGTATGTCCTGATCTGGTGAGTTGGTGTGTGGGATCGTACTTTTGTTCAGCAGTTTACCACAGAAAGTGTGTCTCACACGCAAGTGCTCTATTTAGGTTAGCTGACATTGGACATGATATTTAGCCCGAAAAATACAAAAAATTGGCAAAGAATTCTCACGAGAAATCTAATTTGAAGCTAGTTGTTTATGGTCTTTTATGTTCACAGTCCATTAAGAATACGAACTATTGTGAAACAGACTACTGGGGCGTGACAGGCAGAATCCCTGTATCAGGTGTTGAACTTATAAAGACATTGAGTTTCATTTTATTTCTTGCCTCAGAGCCAAAGTTGTAATCCTGAATTGGGAAAACTGGAGTGCTGGGTGTGGTGAATTGGGTGATCATCTCTGGTATTCCCTAGGCAAGACCTGCATAGCGGTGCCTGGTTTTTTCTTGCCCTTTATTCCTAATTTAAAGAGTCCAAACATTTTGCACATTGTTTGTTGAAGAGACTCAATTTTGAATTATTTATGAACTTATTATTATTAATTTTTTTGGATAATTACATTCTATGCATCAAAACCTTATTCTGCGTCATTTTTCTTCTATGTTTTTGTGTTTATACCTTTTGAATTCATTTAATATTTGGGTTCCGCTCCTTCTTTTTTCCATTATTGATATTTTTACTTGTGTGATTAATACTTTTTGTTTCCTAGTGTTCAATTTTCCTTATTTATAGCTGCATTTCATCTGCATGCAGTACTCAAAATTTGTGAAGCCTGCTTTTGATGATTTCATACTTCCAACAAAAAAGTACGCCGATATTATCATTCCTCGGGGAGGAGACAATCATGTTGCTATTGATTTGATAGTGCAACATATTCAGACTAAACTTGGTCAACACGATCTTTGTAAAATATACCCTAATCTATATGTCATTCAATCAACTTTCCAGGTATTCTTTCCTCTGGGTAACTTTAGATATTAACTCACCGTATTATTTATGTTTGAACTTTGGGATTCTTTGTTCTAACATATCTAAGCTTCTTTTAATTGTGAAGTCCTAATGTCAATTAATACATCCAGATACGCGGCATGCACACGCTAATACGTGATTCTCAGACAACAAAACATGATTTTGTCTTTTATGCTGATAGGTTGATCCGCTTGGTAGGTATTTTCCATCTATAAGTCTCCATTTGACACACATTTTTTCAAAATTCATTTTCAACCACACATTCTTCAATAAAATAATATTTTCCATCACATCAATAGCTTTTCCTTACTTTTTAATCACATATTTCCCATTTTTTCACTATTTAAAATATATTCTTTCCTCAATAATATCCATCAAACACACTCTAAATGTGTTCAATTGACAGCTGTACTGCTACAATCTTTTGAATAGCAACAGCTACCACTCATTTCTTTATTTCAATTTTCACCTGACTAGAATTCATGTATTTTAGGTTGTTGAACATGGTCTCGGTCATTTGCCATTTACGGAAAAGCAAGTGATCACTCCAACTGGTAAGCCACCGTTATTATTATTATAATAAATATCCTGTGGTATGTCCTCAAGTTTCTCCTGTCATTTGTCTGAATGTGTTTTAGTGATTTTTGTCCTCGAGATGAAGTCCTTTACTCATTTCTGATTTAAACTTAATTGGTGAAAAGGCCTTTTTTGGTCAAGATGAAAATTCAAGGCATTACTCTAATCAATGAAACAGATTCTCAGTCATGCATAGAATCCTAAACTACTAATAGAGAAACGTATAAAGTTTGTCAAGAGTGGTGGAAATTGGTTTTTGAAGGCAATTTGCCTGAACAGCTCCGGATCCAATTAATTTAATCTCAGTTTCTGTCTTTAGTACGAATCAATTTCTAGATCCCTCGACTCCTTTCTAACTCATTTTCTTTTGTTATTTTCAATCTTTTCTTCTGTAACTAAGTTCACGATTCTAATCATAGACGTGCAAGGACACATAGCCATCTAACTATATTTATTTTCATTATGGAAATCAGTATGCTATTTGTTCTTGCAATGCAGCAGCTACGATTTTCTGTTGTTGGGTGTGAGATTTATGAAGTGCTAAGCTTCTGTTGGTTAGGTTTATCATACTGTCAGATAATTGGCATTGAGATTTTTAGCTATAGAAGCAAGGCACCGACTTTTTACCTGTTGAGATGCCATGTTTACCGGGTGAAAGTGTTCTCTTGAAATGGTGATTTTTTCTTTTTGGAAACTGATGATGTCTTTGGGGAGGTACTCATTCTTGAAATGGACTTCACAACTACCTCTATGAATTGAGTGACTCAATTATCAAGCAAAAGTCTGAATTATGTGTTTAAGTGCGCATCTCTTTGTTGAAAATGTCTAGATAGCAAGGTGCTAAAAGTTGTAATAAATGATCTGTTGGTTTGGTTCCAAGCTTCTTTCTCTCTATCGTATTTCCCCCAATAATAGTTCTTTATCTCAGCTTAGATTCTTCATTATTTCAATTTAATAGCATTCTGCTCTTCAAGTACAGGATCTGTATACATTGGAGTGGACTTTTGTAAGAGGTTATGTGGCGTCTCCGTAATTAGAAGGTAAAAAAGGTTGCAATACAGCTCCCCCCCCCCCGCCACCACCACTCCCATTCTCCCTCCCCTCCCCCTGTTGGTGGGTAGGTGATATTTCTCTCCTTGCACGCTGTTTATGCCTGTCCAAGACAAATCAGCTGAATCATTCCCACTGGCAACTTAAGTTGCCACTAGTTTGTGGTTCTGAAGTAAAAGATTGTTCAACTGTTCGCAGTGGTGAAAGCATGGAAAATGCCCTGCGAGCATGTTGTAAAGGTATCAAGATTGGCAAAATTCTAAT